TGGTAAATGAAATATCTAGATTCATAAATGGTAAACTGCCCATACTTAGAAAGTTCAGATATTCTAAAGCAAAAGCAAAGTAAGAGTATTCTACGCTATAGGAAAACTTGCTCTACCTTTTAATTCAAGCTTTATAATCTTCATAAATGTATATTGCACTACTCAACCAGAGTAAAATTTATTGTCTTAGTTTTGTGAATAGAAATTGCCAGGATAGGTGTCAAGGGAACTAAAATGGAGCCAGAAGGTCATGAAGAGGTTGCCTTATGCTCATTCCACCATGAACTTTTGAACCAGCTGTGAGACCACATCTGAACTTTAACTTCCACCTCAGGGTGGCTCTGCACTCTTCATCTCGGAAGGAGCCAATCCGTTTCATTAGCCAGTATCCTTCCTTCGCATATAAAAGGTTATAACTTATTTGAACTTTCATGCTTGCCATAGAATCACATCCTGGAACTCAGTTATCCAGAGTCTTGCCACCCATACCTGAACAATCCTTTTTGAACTAGATCACATCATACTACTTCCACTCTCTCTAAAAATCACCAATGGAAAAATATCTTTGTGTGAAGAAGAAGAAGGAAGAGGAAAAAAGAGGAGGAGGAAGAAGAGGAGGAGGAGGAGGAAGAGAAAGATGAAGAAGGAAGAAGAGGAAGAGGAAGAAGGAAGAAGAGGAGGAAGAAGGAGAAGGAAGGAGAAGAAAGAAGGAAAAGGAAGAGGTGAGAGGAGGTGAAAGGAAGAGGAGGAGGAGGAGATTATATAAAGATCTACCAATTATTTTACTTCAACAGTTCTGTAAGACACAGTTCCTTCCATTCTGGATCTGTTCTAAATAGAAAAGATCTTTTGTTATTTTGATCTCTCTACCCCTTGTTCCTAGTTTTACACTTCACAGTGACAAGAAATTAGTCATAGTCAATTCACACACATACACGAAGTTATAATGCAGGCTGCTGAAATTCTGCAGTTCCTTCAACCATATTCACAAATAGCATGATTTCCAGACCTATGCCATCCTTGGCTTGTTCTGGATGCCCTTCAGTTTGCCAAGCTCTCTTTCAAATATGGTCAGAACTAAATTATTGAAGGGAAGGGGAGGAAGGAGAAAAGGACAGAAGACTCTGAGGAAGTTATTTTACCCGCACATCTATAAAATAAGAATAACAGTTATTAGCCCAAAGGGTTATTGAAAAAAATATGAGTTAATGCACATGAAGTGCTTAGAATAGTGCCCGACACAAAACACCTCATGTATGTTGTTTAACCTATTATTCAGAGAAAGAGTCCACAAGATACCCTGAAACTTATAGAGACTGAGACAGGGGAAGTACTAAAAAAAAATCATGGCTTTTAATCAATGGTTGGAACAAGGGATCCAAACTCAACTAGTGAATGAAGACGTGGGCAGAGCAGTATATCCTATGTAAAATGGGGGGGGGGGGGGGGAGATACACATTAACATAAAAAATGGTTCAAAACCACAGCTTGAGTTTGAATTCTCCCCTCTACATACTCCGTGTTATCCTGGCTTAACACTAAATTAATACAAATGATATGTGGAGAGGAAAAGAATAAGGGGTAGCATAGGCAATAACTTCCTTTCACTAGTTTAAGATGTGTGCTGCAGAACAGCTATGAAAAGACAAAACTTACTAGCAAATTTATGTACCCAAGACCACGAATATTTACTCATAGTCAGCATTTCTTCTTTTAATACAGTTTTAAAAATTTTAAAAACCAAACTATATCAAATATTTTCAGGAAAAAAAAATAGCCTTCTCTTCAAATGAATTTCTAACCATCACTGCAAGCTGGGGCACACAAAAATAAAATCATTTTTAAAAATAAGTATCAACATGAAGACAGAAAATAACCCTCAATTTTCTCTTAAGATAGTTATTCTCATTGTTTTACATGAGAAGGCTGGCAGAACAGCAAACTCCAAGTATATAGTCCACCATTTCCAATAAGCTTACCAATAATTCTTTAATAGCAACAACCAGAGAACTGCACAAAGCTGAGTTAAGTTACATTTTAAACTTCTATGCTGACGAAATTTACCAAAAGAGAACCCTACCACATACACATAACACTGACTTTATGCGTAGTATGCCCAACTCTTTATAAATGTATTTCTTAAAATAATAAAAACAGCAAAAACTTTAAGTGCAAGAGTGTGATACCACAGGCTATTTGACAGGGAGTCCGTTTGCTGTGTTTGTCCTGAGGCAAGGCGCCGCCCTTAAAGTCCACAATCTTTTCCTGCTCTTTCTCTCCAGCCACAGTAACCTTTTGTATCCTTCCTTCACTGGAAGCATTCTGCCAAAGACTACAGGAAGTATATTAATACACAGAACTTGCCTTTAGCAATTTCAGCTTGAGTATTGCAAATGATTTTACCAACACCTCAGTGGTTAGCTAACTGCTGTCAAACGCCAGAGTTGATTTTACCCTAACATGTAATTTTGTTTAGTGACATATATGACTCCTATACTTTCAGATATTCATTTGTTCTATTTGTATAAATAGATATACAACACATCTGTTATTTCTGGAGAATTACTAAGTGAGTTTCACAAACTATGCTTAAAAATAAACATTAATACTCTTTGAGGAAATGGAAAGTACCAAGAGACCTGAAAAAATTCAGGGCTCAAGTCCTTCAAGTGTAAATATTAGGTTATGTAATATTATTTTACTTTATTCTTGAAGTACTATTTCTCAAATTGCTGCCATATAAACAATCCCCTGTGAATTCTTTTTCTTTATAATATTTGTCTATTAGGCTGGCTCCCTAAATTTCATAAATAATACTCAACCTTTTTGGCCAATCAATCCTTTGTATAGAGAATGACAACACAGACTACAAGCAATCTATACTAATAAAAGGGAAATATGCTAATTAGACCAGGTCGACTGGCCATCTTCCAGACGTCTGACTTCCTTCCGGACAAAGCCATGGTGGTGAAGGCCAAGGCAGAGGCAGTTAGGAGCGACCAGGCGGGCAGGCAGGGACAGTTGGGGGCGATATCAGGCCAGCAGGGGAGGGCAATTAAGGGAGATCAGGCAGGCAGAGGCAGTTAGGGGCGATCAGGCAGGCAGGCAGAGTAGGGGAGATCAGGCTGGCAGGGGGGGCAAGGTAGGGGCAATCAGGCCGGCAGACAGAGGGGTTGGGGCAATCAGGCAGGCAGACAGAGGGGTTGGGGCAATCAGGCAGGCAGGCAGGCAGGCAGGTGAGTGGTTGGAAGCCAGTCATCTTGAAATGGAGAAGGATGTCTGACTGCTGGTTTAGGCTTGACTCAGCCTACACCCGCAGCCCGACATTCCCCAAGGGGTCCCAGATTGGAGAGGGTGCAGGCTGGGCTGAGGAAACCCCTCCATGCACAAATTTCATGCACTGGGCCTCTAGTAATTCTATAAAGGTCATTTTTTTCAATTGACTATAATGCCATCACTGGCTTTGAAGAGAAAGAAGTTAATGTATTTAATCAAAAGCTAACACACAACTATAGAATATAAACTCTATGAGTGCTAGGACTTTTTTCTTTCTTTTTGGGGCATTGCTATAGTCATAGTACCTAGAAGAGAGATCAATATTCTCAACACATGAAAACTATTTGATCTTAAAATAAACTTCTAACTTTAAAATAATCCTATCTAATAAAGATGCAAGAAATATGCTACCTGACTATCCCGCCCTCAAAGATGATGGCATCCACAGCCACAAGATGGAGGCGTCCAGTCCCCTCAACCCCATCTTGCCACAGGCCTACCTCTGGACTCCCCAGTCCCCCTCAGTCCCCCACCACGCAGGGCCAGCCTGAGGCACAGGCAAGCCTCGAATGACGGCTGCCTAGTCACCCAGGGCTGCCCAAGGCTCAGGTAACCAGGGCCTGCCAAGGCTTGCGCTGCCGGCAGTGGAAGCAGCAGAGGTGTGATGGGGGCATTGCCTCCTGCCCCTGAGGGCTCCCAGACTTTGAGAGGGGGCAGGCCAGGCTGAGGGACACCCCCGCCCCTGTCTAGTGCATGAATTTTCATGCACTGGGCCTCTAGTATTTTATTTAAAAAATAAAGATTCAGTAAATCTTTTCAGAGCACAGATTCCCATTCATCGTAGCTATTGTAAATGAACTGTATTGAGCATTAACCTAAGAACCAGAAAGCCACAGTTCAATTATAGTCAGGGCACATGCCCAGATTACGGGATAGCGCCCCAGCAGGGGGCATGCAGGAGGCAGCTGATCAATGATTTTCTCCCTCCTCCTTTCACTCTGAAATAAATTTTTTTTTAAAAAGGAACCAAAACACATCACCATATTTTTAAAGACCATTTTAAAATTGACAGGGGAAATAAAAATTTCACAGCAGTTATTCATATAAGTTACAATTCAATTTTTTTTAAGTATTTGAATATTCTTGACTATTTAAATGATGTACCAATGGCAAATAATAACCAAACATATGGAACTTCCTGAAAAGAAAGCTTATCATGTAATTACCAAGCATACTATTAGATAACCAGTGGTCCAGTGCACGGATTTGTGCACAATGAAAGGAAATTAATTAGAAGAAATATTTTAATATCGCTATTTGCCATTTCTCTATAACAGAAGTATCAACCAAATTCATGATTGACAATGACAGAAACCATTCTCTATCAACAAGGACCTACTGAGGAAAAATGCCTGATTGTACAAAAATAACAATTAATCTTTCATAAAACTGCAGAGAATGGGATATATATATATATATATATATGAATAAATTATTATTATTATTTATATTTGTAAATACTTTAAGCATTATCTTCATCCAAAAGGTCCAATTCATGACCTTCTTGGTAGATATGAAGATTCAAACAGAATAAAAGGGGTTAGCCAGAAATATGAAGAAAAGGAGAATGCAGGGATACTAAGGCTTTTCCAACAAACATGTCTGCCCTGTACCTTATAAAGAACAAGTATACCCAGGAGGGGGACCTCCATATCCAAGCTTACCTGTGCATACTCTCTTTCAATAGCAGCCTTCTTCTGACTGAATGTCCTAAAAACACAAATAAAAATTAATTACCAAAAGTACTATAACAATGTCATATAAATTTACCACCATATCCTCAAATTGTACCTGCTAAGCTGTGTTAAGAAAAGGAACAATTTTCATTCATCTTATGTGCCTAGGAATACTGCTGACATCACAGACTCTGGAATCAGACAATCTACATTCAAATCTTAGCTCCACCACTTACTAGCTGTATGACCTTGGTCAAGTCACTTGACTTCTCTGTGCCTCAGTTTCCTCTTTGGTAAAATGGGGATAGTAACAATAATCACCTTGCAGGGATAATGTAAAATTTAGTTAATTAAAATATATAAAATGCTCAAAAACAGTGTCAAGCACATAATAAATGCTATATAAATGTTAGCTACTGCTATTAGAATGGCTAGTGCATAGGAGGTACTAAAATAAAATTTACTAACTTAACCAAATATAGAGGGAACTACAGAAAACAAGTTTAAAATCAAATCCAGAGCAGCTTCTCATCATGAAAAAATAGTCAAATCCTTTCCTTCTTCCCAATTTTTTACACGAGTTACAAAACCAAGTACAAGGCTACTACGTGTGTGGTATGATGGGAACACCCTTTCCACACCCATATATTTCATAGATTCTACAACAAACGCTTACCACATTTTAACATTTATTATATTGAGGTTCATCTTTTAATAATTATTGGTAGTATTTTCTTCTACAGTAACAGTAATGAAATAACAGTGTGCCTTATAAACCATAGACAAGGTAGAGTCAATGATTATGTCAAAATATGTACAATTTACCTTGAATAGTCTGAGTAAAGACTTTCCTATGCATGCCAGATATGTGTGCTCTTAAAAGCACTTCATTGGGGCAGAGATATGAGAGCAAAAAGTGAAAAAGTATAAAGAAAAGAGACTGAATAGGAAAAAAAGCAATAAGCCAAAATTCCCACTTTTTAATTCTAATTATTTAAATTTACCAAAATGACTATTCATTTCTTATCTACGAAATATAACTAAGATCTCACTACATTTGTTTTGGGTGAATAGCTATTGTTTGGCCTTAAAAAGGTAGAAAACTGCCCAACTGGGTGGTTCAGTTTGATTGAGCGTCATCCTGAACTCAAACAAAAAAGCTGCAGGTTTGATTCCTAGGCAGGCACATACCTAGGTTGAGGGTCCGACGCCCAGTTGGGGCGTGTTGGGGAGGCAACCAATCGATGTTTCTCATTCTGTCCCTTCCTCTCTAAAGTCAATGAACATATCCTCAGGTGAGGATTAAAAATAAAAGGACAGAAATACTCACAAATGCTATACTATGAAAACCTTGAGGAGAGTATGCTAAATGAAATAATTTAATCCAAAAAGACACTGTATGATTTATATGCGGCACCTGGAGTAGGCAAAAATCATACAGGCAGAAAATAGAATACTGGTTGCCAAGAGCCCGGAGGAGGGTATTAGAGGAGTTATTATTTAACAGGCATAGAGTTTCAGTTTTGTAAGACAAAAAGTTCTGGAGATGGATGGTGAAGGATGCAAAACAATATGAATGTCTTTAATACCATTAAACTGTACACTTAAAAATGGTTAAAAAAATAAATGTTATGTATATTTTGCCACTAAAAAAAAAAAAAAGAGTTGATCAAGAACATTTTCTTTATGGGGTACTGCACATTATAAAGCATTAATAGCTCTATGAAATATAATCAGTATACTCTCCTTAAGAAGAAACACATAAACTATATTCTGTAGAAGAATATGTACACACACACTGTATATATGCATTTATATATATGTGTATAAATTATATATACACACTGTATATATGCATATATATATATATATATATATCATATGTATTTTATATATAAAGATACATGGACATTTGTGGGTATTTAGGATTATATGTCTCTGTTTATATATATACTAGAGGCCCAGTGCATGAATTTGTGCATGGGTGGGGTCACTTGTCCTGGCCAGAGATTGGGGCTGATCAGGGCTGGCAACCGGGGGGAGGAACCATGGGAAGTTGGCTGGCTGGGGAAGGTTGGCTGGCTGGGGGAGATTGGCTGTGGGAGCACACTGACCACCAGGGGGCAGCTCCTACATTGAGCAACAGCTCCCTGGTGGTCAGTGTGCATCATAGCTACCAGCCGGTCGTCCAGTCATAACAGTTGCTTAGGCTTTTATATATATAGATATATACAGAGAGAGAGAAAGAGAGAGATATCAAAATAATAATGCAAGTTTTGTCTGGGTAGTGGGATTACAGACTTTCACTTTCTTCTTTTCATTTTGCTCTCTATATTTTCTGATGTTTTACTAAAAATTTGTTTTGTGTTTGAAGATTGGTTTATGTTGAACCATCCTCATGTCCCTGGAATACATCCCACTTGGTCACGATGTATTATTTTTTTTAATGGATTGTTGTATTCAATTCCCTAATATTTTATTTAGGATTTTTATATCTATGTTCATCAAAGATATTAGCCTGCAATTTTCTTTGTGTGTGTGTGTGTCCTGCCTAATTTTGGTGTCAGGATAATGTGGCCTCATGAAATAAGTTAGGAAAGTATGCCCTCTTCTTCAATTTTTGAAAGAATTTGAGAAGAATAGGTATTAAGTCTTCTTTGAATGTTTGGCAGAATTCACTGGAGAAGCCATCTTTTGTTTTTGGAAGATTTTTTTTATTGATATTACATTTTCGTAACTACTGATTGCTTTCTTTAGGTTGTCCAATTCTTCATGGTTCAGTCTACAAAAGTTATATATTTCTAAGGATTTGTTCATTTAATCTACATTATCGAATTTGGTGGCAAGTAGCCTCTAATAGTATTATTACATAACCTTCATTATTTCTATGGTGTCCATTATAATTTCTCATCTTTCATTTGTAATTTTATGTATAGTAGTTGAGTGGGTTTTTTTGTTTGGTTGGGTTTCTCCCCCCCCCCCCCCAAAGCAATATATAAATTAAATGCAACCCCCATCAAAATCCAATGGCATTTTTCACAGAAATAGAAAAAATCCTCAAATTTATATGGAACCACAAAAAAAAACCAAAGAGCCAAAGCAATACTGAGCAAAAAAAGAGCAAGCCCAAAGGCATCACACTCCCTGACTTCAAATTATACTATAAAGCTACAATAATCAAAACAGTATAGTATTGGCAGAAAAACAAACACAGAGACCAATAGAACAGAATTGAGAGTCCAGAAATAAACCTGAATATATATGGGCAACTATTTTCTTTTTCTTTTTTTTAATATATTTTATTGATTTTGTACAGAGAGGAAGGGAGAGAGATAGAGAGCTAGAAACTTTGATGAGAGTCATCGACCAACTGCCTCTTGCACACCCCCTACTGGGTATATGCCTGCAACCACGGTACAGGCCCTTGACCGGAATCGACCCGGGTCCCTTCAGTTCCCAAGCCGACGCTCTATCCATTGAGCCAAACCGGTTTCGGCAATGGGCAACTATTTTCAACAAAGGAGCCAAAAACATACGATCAGCAAGAAACATCTCTTCAATAAATGGTGCTGGGAAAATTGGAAAGCCACATGTAAAAATATGAAACTAAATTGCTATCTGACACCATACACAAAAATTAAGTCAAAATGGATTAAACACTTAAATATAAAACCTAAAACAGGAGAACCAAGATGGCAGCATAGGTAAACATTGGTACTTGGTACTCGCTGCCTCCCACAACCACATCAAAGTTACAACTAAAATACAGAATCATCATCCAGAACCACCTGAATGTGGTCCTACAACTAGAGAATTAAACAAGAAGGCACATTGAGACTGGTAGGAGGGGCGAAGACATGGAATGGGCTGGTCCGACACCCACGTGTGGCATTTTTTAAATCAGGAGGGATATCTCTAAGACCTCCTGTGAGAAAGGCCTCCAGCTCCACGCCAGACCCACATCCCATGGTTGCAGAACTAGGAATAGAAGTCCCCATACATTTGGGCTATAAAAACCAGCAGGGATTGTGGCTGAGTGATACAAAGATAGCTGGAGTTCCAGGTATTACTCTTAAAGAGCCCATGCATGAACTTATACAGGCCTGCTCCCTCTAAGCTCCGGTGCCAGGCGGTGGCTTTGGGGGAATCCAGGGACATACAGGGAGAAACTGGAGAATCGGGGAAGGAACCTGGGGGTGGCTATCTCTCAGAAAGGGATCCTCACTGGGGACATTCTTCCTGTGTTGGGACCTCCTCTGTTGCAGAGCTGATTGGCAGCCATATCTAAGTTTCCCTCAGCATGGCCCACACAGTTCTGCTCTACCTTGGTGATTCTGAGAATCCAATTTGCTGCCCCACCAAGTTGTTTGCAGTGGCTTTTCCATGTGAATAGCCTATTCTAGCTCAGGCTTCAAACTTTGCTAAAATCTCTCAAACAAGCAGCAGCTGGTGTCAGCATGTCCCAAGCCTAACAATAAAAGACCCAACACAAGCACCAGCCTGCCTTGTTTCACCACGGGGCCTTGCCTGGGCACCTCAGAGCCCAATACAAGTAGCAGCCATCTGCAGATCTCTCTGTAGCTCTTGCTGGAGCTGGATAGCCCCAGGCACTGTCTGACTTTGCACCTCCTGTGAGGCTCCAGAGCAAGTACACCTGGTGGACAGCTTCAGACTATAACAGATTAATACAACTCTACACATCCACAAGTGACACACTCAAGGGGAAGACTCAATGAGCACGAAAGCCCCACTGAAACAAGTCCTGCTCCATAGGGGTGTCTTCTGGACAGCAGTTCTTCCATTGCAGATGCTAACTCTCACAGCAAATTGGCCTGGAGGTCAATTCCTCCCAGTGACACCAACAATAATCAAGGTTCGACTACAAGACTGTGTACACAGCTCACACAGGGGCACACCTACAGTGCCCAGCTCAGGTGACCGGGGAGGCTGAGCTCGATAGGACATCTACTACACAAGGCCACTCTACCAATCCCAGGGGACATAACAGCTCTACCTAATACATAGAAACAAATA